ACTAGTCCTACCTATATGATCTACTAACAAAAGTGTGTTATTTATTATGAATAGTTTTAGATGTAGATTTTATAATGTGACTTAACTAGAAAATCAGTGAAATTTATTATAACAATTATAGCACAAAACATAGACACTTATACAGTAATAAATAAGCCTTTTAAAGTCCCAAAATTAAAGACAAAATTGCTTAGCCTCTATATGCTTTATTTATAACAATAAATGAATGCCTTACATTTTTAATTTTCAACTATAATTTTATATTTATAAAATTATACTAGACTTTGGCAATAAATAACTGCCTTATGTTTATACTTTAATTCTACATTGATTATAGAATTAAGTGTGATCAGTATGTTCACAGATTATTAAATGTTCACGAGGCCTTGTTTCATGAATTTGGTGGAAGCTCGATGTGTTCGGGTAAGAAAATCATAAAAAAAAGACTCATCATTTTCTTTAATAAAACTATCAGTCTGAAAAGATTGCTAGCAGATAAAGGTAAGAAGTTGGTTGAGGCTGCTTTTGGCTTCTGCAAAGGTAATTTTGGGTTCTTCATCTACTTGGTCATCAGACCTATTATCATTAACAATTGGGTTTTTAACCAATTCTATGATTCGTTCATCATCCAAAGCTTCTTCAGTCTCAATAGGCTCATCATTATCAAGATAGTCTTGGGTGAGTTGTCGAAGGTGGGGGTCTTCAGTTAGGTCAATAACTTCTTGGGCCTCATGTTAAGTTGTAATAATTTCAGGAATTTGAATGATTTGAGCTTCAGGGTCTTCATTAGGCTCTGGTTCCAATTCTGAGAAAATTTTAACAAAATGTTGGCTAGGTATGATTCCAGTGTGATGCCAACAATTTTTTAAAGTTTCTGTACTTATAGCATCCCATGCAGCTTTCACTAACTGTATTGCCTAAAGATAGGCAAAACAAAATTAATAATGATTAATTTATTCTAGGAAATTTCAAACACCTGGTATTATTAATAATTATAGTACTGCTTATCATAACTAATTGTCGCAGCTGATGCTGGAAATAGCTGAAGCTGGAAATCAGGGACCCTGATTTAAAAATATAAACACTGTAAAAATTCACTTATACTCTTTCATTATCAAAACTAATCCTAAATCCTAACCTAATCATGAAAAATAGCTAAAAAAAATGGTCCAAAAAAATTTTGAAAAATTCATATTAAAATATTTAAAATTACCAGCTTCAGCCATTTCCAGCATCAGCCACGACACTAATTATTATTTATTAAAATTACAAATGTGATCTAAATAATATAAAATTAATAATGTTAATTAATAATCACTAACTCCACCTGAAGTATATCTATTTTGCTTGGTTCCTCAACACCTCTATCAAAATTATGAATTACTTGGTTAATATAAAGACGCTTATAATGTAATTTAAAGGCATTAATAATTCTAGCATCCATTGGCTGTAGATGAGCAGTCGTATTGGGGGAAAGAAATGCACACAGATATTTGAGTAATCTTCAAGATTATCAACATTATGGGAAGTGGCATTATCCACAAGTAATAAAATTTTTCGGTCTTGAATTCGGAATATAGTCTGAAGATTGTTAAGAAATTTCTAAAAAAAAAAAAAAAAAGAAAGAAAAAAACAATAAATAAAAAAAAAGAAAATAATGACTAGTAATTCTAAAATAAACTTTATAAAAATCTGTCAAAATTGAACTTGCTAAAGATCAGCAATTTAACAGTGCTTATAATGTACTATTAACATACAAACTATTGCAAATATAAGCACTTTAATAGCATTTTCTTACTATATTTTAATTTTATAAATATATTTGTCAATTATTATGCTAATAAAATGCTAATATTAGTAACATATTATCAATATTTTAGTAATAATAAAGGCCTAAACATTACCATTATTTAACTAATTTATTAGATATTTAAAGGTGCTGATAATGAAATAATCTTGCAATAAATTATAAAAATTGCTAACTCGAAATTATCAGATTTTTGTAAAGAAGCAAATATCAAACAAGCATATAGAACCTTAAAAATATCTTGACGCATTCACGCCTTTTCATTATGATAATAATCAACTGGAAGTTGGTTATGTGATGTAATTCCTTTATGGCAAAATGCCAATTGCATATGGGACTTGTTAATAACCAGAGGCTTGATTTTTTCAGTACCATCTGCATTGGACATGCAAACAACAGTAATTCTCGACTTTTTTTTTTTTACCCTTTTGTGCAAATGTTAGAAATGAAGTATTAGATTCTATACAATAAAACAGACCACATTCATCTGCATTAAAAATGTCTTAGAGTTCATATAACTTTAAGAGATCTTTTAGCTTTTCACGAAATTGGGGCAAAAATTCTATCAGGGCACTCTCTGCTTCTCCATGAATTCGATGGTTTCGGATTTCCATTCTAGTCTTGAATCATGAAAACCAACTATCAGATGCTTTAAAATCACTTTCTGGAACTCCTAACAATGCTACAAACTCAAGAGCCTTCTGGCGAATTACTTCTCCTGTAAGAATAAGTTGCCTTTGCTCAGCAGTACTAATCCACATTCCAAGGGCTTGTTCAATCTGAGGAAATTTAGGACTGGTTGTTTTAAATGCATTTGCATTTTTTGAAA